GGTGTGTGTGTGTGGGTGTGTGTGTGTGGGTGTGTGTGTGTATCTGTTCAAGGCAAACCTGCTTAGCGATACTGTCTGCCTTGAAGGATTTTAATATAAATTACCATGATAACACATTGCATGAAGCTAAATATGAAAAGTTTCCCGAAGTTGCAAAAAAATCAACAGCTATGTTTTACCAGAACAATCTCACATGAGTAACTAAGTGTTTATTTTTTCATGCTTATCTTTACTGTTTACATCCAACAACTTTTATTCATATTTATTAAACATGAGGACAACTGTCTTGATGGATTTGCAACCTGTCCAGGGTGTGCTCTGCCATGATTCGGAAATCGACTGAGTGGTCTGTGTCGGATCTTCTTCCTTGTTGTAGGGAGAGGAGTCGTTTAGATTCTGCCTCCTGCTGGAGGGGATGGTCAAAAGTCTGACTGAACTCCTGGAGAAAGCACTGATAAGTTAATGAACCAAATGAATGTGAGTGGAGAAAAGCGTTTGCCCATCTTAACGCTCTCTTTCAGAGAACTGATAATAAATGTGATCTTAGAGAAACGATCAGGGAACAAAGATGGTGACCTCATGAATGCTAGGTGACATTGTAACAAAAAACCTCCACATTTATTCAAATCTCCGAACAACTCCGCTGGCCTTATCTGGTTCACAAGCACTTGGTCCAGGAGGTGCAGTCACCGGAGCCTGAGTGGGAGGTGGGGGTAAACGTGATTCCAGTTTGTCATCCATCACAGCAATGTGTCCATTTAATTTATCCAAAAMATTACCAAAAAACTTGTTGCTGTTGAAGTAACTGTTGAAAATAGATCTCATGATTATCTATTATGTCTAAAGAGGCTAAAATTTCTCGGACACTGCACCACTCACTGACATTTTGGATGGTTGATGCATACCGACATAAACTCAGGAAGTCAGGATGTTGAGTGGAACTGAGTGACCAAAGCACAGGAAACTGATGAAAAAAGGTAAGTGATTTTATTTACAAGAGTGGAATGARTGTATTCTGACAGATCTGTAAAAAAGGGGAAGTGTCCAGGTGAGTCTTCTTTAAACACAATAGTTCCTTCAGTAGTTTAGTGAGATATGCTTTCCTTCTTTTCTTACAGGTTTCTGTGGACGAGTCAGTCCTGGTAAGAAGGAATGATCCACAGAGCAACAGAGATCTTCAGGCAGAGTGGCCAGGTTCCTTGATTTTCTTTAGGTTCCTTGAGGTAACAACCCTGGGCAGGCAAAACCTTTAACAACAAAATACCAAGGGTAAGGYAGATAATAAACTTTTAAACACTTTCTCAAAGCTATTGTTGGCTTAGCACTACCAAAAACGGTGTGATGCATCAGCGAAGACCAACTCGTCTGGAGACACTTAAAGCCCAGGGATTCATCAGGATCATCACTGGTGTAATTAGGAGCAGGAACCAATAAGAAAATCAAAGCAGAAAACAACCAATCATCACAGTTACTACTCTCTATGTTGGTATAATAATTATATATATATACAAACATTTTTTTAAAAATAGCAGTTTTATCACATTTTGGTAGGTGTGCAGCACTATGGAGCTCTCTGGTAATGTCAACAAAAATTGTGCCCTATCCTTAAAGGCACAGTGTGTAGGATTTTGTCAATTCTTTTAGCCGGAATTCACTAATGACAATAATAAAAAGCATGTCTAATCATTGCAGACAAAGACCTTGTTTTATTATTTTACCTTACAAAAAGCTGTTCATATCTTCATGGTCGCAGGTCGTCACTACAGGCAGCCGCCATCTTGCACCGCCATCTTGTCTATGAAGGCTCATGAAGGACAAACTGCAGTGGCGGCGTCAAAAACGGTTTTAATTGTAATACTATAAATGTAATATTTGTTGTCTGTCAGCTGGGATAATTTTACTTATTAAAGCTCATAATCCCACCACTTGAAACATCACTAGCCCTGAAGCTGCTGGTAGACATCGTGGTTGGAATTATCAAAGGTTTTTGACACCTGAGAGACACCGTAGCAAATCCTTTGCGTTTAGAAGTGGGGGGTGGGGGGAGGACCAGCGAAAACGATTCAACTACACAACCACTAGATGTCGCTGAAAACAACAAATCCTACACACTGTGCCTTTAAAGTTGCACATCCCTGTGCTAGATCATCTGATGTAAATGGATCATTAAGGCCAATATTCAACACTTTAAAGGCAAATGTATCTCAGCTTTAGGAGCATAAAACACGTATTGGTGGTTTTTTTTGAAGCAAACAGCATGCACTGATGACCAATAGGTTTCCAGACATGCTGAGAAACAGACCCGTAATCAGTGAAAGGATATTAAAGGATCTGCTGGAACCTCCAAACAGCTGGAAGATTTCGATTTAGCTTATAAGCCTCATTTTTTTGGTCTATTTTAAAGAATGCATGTGTGCAATTTGATTGGCTTTTTATTGGTTGGTGAAGCTTTAATTATGTGCCAACCTGAGTGACATGCAAGCTAAAACTGAGTGCCTGCCCACAGGGAGCTAATCTGTCTGCAACACCCTATTTGTTCCTGAAGTCCCTCAACTCACACGTTCTTGGATTCCTGTTTTGCTGGTTTAAAAAGCACATCCTCCACACCAACACTCATGCACAGATTTGGTTAGAGTTACCATCACTGTCAAATGTTTCTTCCTGTTGTGAAGTTCTCTTTGTAGCACTTTGTAAAATTAGAGTCATCAAACTAAAAAAAAAGAAAAAAAATCTCATTTGGCAAACAGTGTGGAGAAGGTTGTGTCTATTTTCAATGTGGCTTTTGTAAGCACACAAAATGGAGATTTGACCACTTTCTGACACTCAGGGATCATTAAACTCTCAACAGGTTAACTGGCTGAGTGAAATAGAAAAACTGAAATAGCCACTTCACTCTTTCTCCTCTCTTATTATGTTTCCACTCTGTCAGATAGCAGTGCAGCCGCAGTAGACTTTTATTACCCCCTGTGATGAGAATGATAGCCCGTTACATCCTTACGAACTGCAGACATTCATGCTGAAAGCTTGAACAATCAAACACAAGCGCTTTGCCGTCAATAACTCCCAACTAACCGGAGAAGGATTAATGTTCCTGTTTTATGGCTGCTGCGTTTGAAGTGTTTCGTTTTGCCATTACAGGGGGGAGGGTGGCTGGGTATTAGGGGACTGAATTTAAAAGCACCTTACACGCCTGTGGACAATAAGAGTGATTACACAACTACGCTTTTGAGTTTTCTTGAAATTGGTTGTTGTGCATTCCGTAATAAATGTGTTTGATGTCCTCAATTCAAGGCTATTAAAATAAGGGCCCCAATCCCATAAAATAAAGAGATTAAACTCAAAGCCGTTAGCTTCACTCTTCAATAACCATCGCTTATATGCGTGCTTCCCTTCTGACACAGAATAGAGTTTTATACTGTGTACTTACGTTGCAAGAGACTTAACATATGTGTGAAGCTTTCCTCAAAGCTGTTAATGTGATTGAAAGAATATTGGGATTCATTCTGGTGATTTAAAAGGATTTCTTCTTTTCAGCACTTCTTTTATGCTTTAAGAATTAAGTCCAGGCTCATTATATGGAGCAGATAAACACATGTATAATTAAAGCCAAGCATTATTCAAAGGAATGCATATYGCCCGCCACCTTTCATGACAGTTTTAGTTCAGAATGGCTGTCACAGCCACATCGTGATGAGTTAATTCTCATAGTATGTGTTGAAGATGATTTTCAAATACTAACTCATCAAACTCTAGCTCAATATTTGTGATATTGGATGAGTTATGGCCAGTTTTGTGTTCATATGTTAAATTGACTGTGGCGGGCCCTTTTAATTGGTTTGTTTTAAATAAAAATAATTTACTTGTAGATGTTAGTTGAAAATTTTCATAAAATCCATCCTKTTTTTTGAATATTTTGCTACCAAGACAATGTCTAATAGCAACGTTTTTATAACAGATTTTGCTCAATTAGTTGACCCTCTGATCATTTGTTGGTGATGATGATGATGGTTGATGACGATGATGATGGTTGGTGATGATGCAGTAATACAACTCATTTATGCACATATATTTTTCTGGGTTTAATTTACAGAATTTTTTTTTCATTCAGATCTGCCATGTATGGAGCCCATGAGGGGACATGGGGGGATTTTTTACTTTGCGTTCCCACGCAATACCTTTGCGTTACCTTGCAATATTGTTTTGCGTTCCCACGCAAAAGTTTGATTTGTATATGAACTGAATTAAATCAGACTTTTATTTTGAAATATCCGGTTACCAAAACAGGATGTGTAGCTACAAGTTTGTGAAATTGACGTTGATGTTGCGTGGCTGCACAACAGATTTATAAAGGCTGCACTGTGTTAAAATATCGGCATATGACACACTTCCATGCGTGACTGTGTGATATATTCATTCTGAAGCTGAATTAAGCAGTAGGCTAAGTTGCTAATGGTAAACATGTGAGTTTGTTAATAAAACGGCAGGCACAACAATGTTTAACGACTTTTGCGAGGTAACGCAATACTTTTGCGTGGGAACGCAAAAAGAAAAAAAAATCTCTCGTGTCCCCTCGCGGGCTCAGTACAATCACACTAATTGAAAGCTGCAAAATGATTATTTGGCAATTTAAAAAAAAGCCAAACTGTCTTAACT